TTCGCTGGGAACAAGAAGGAGTCAACCAATTTGCTCATAGAAGCCGCGTCAGAATAAGTCGACACAGAAGCTGGAATCCTGAAGGTAATCATCTCAGTCTCTTCATCCAAGGCCGCCGTCTGGGATGACCCGGCTCTGGCTGTGGGCTGACGGCTCGACGGTGTCGCCACCACATCCTTTACTCTTCAATCCTCTCTAGCTGAGGATTCCCTCTTCCTCTTTTCCTGATGTCGGGCGATGGACTCGCTTGTACTGGAGACGGTTAGCTTCTTCATCAGTCTCTCTGCAAGCGCAAACTCTCCAACGGTTAGTGGGTTCAGCCTGGACTTACCATAAGTGGTATGATTGCAATAGCGAGTCAGAAGAACATCCCAAGTCTGCTTCAACGAAGGGAAGGGAATACCTCACTAAATCGCTTCCACTCCGGCCCACAGATGGCTGGTCCTGAGGTTGGCCTCACCCAGTACCACTCGACAATCCTTCTGTGCCTTAGGAATGGCTAGCACCTTCTAGGTCTGCACGTCAAAGCCGTCTCTACTCTGCTCGGCCTGATTGAACTCAAGATTTGTAAAGAAGAAACACAATAAAATTTAGTAATCAAAATACAAAAAAAAAAAAAAAAAAGAAATAGGACAAGATTTCTCACCAGTGGCTCGCCAAGTGCTCGGAATGTCGTCTTGACCTCTCTCCCCATCTCCCCAAAGACCACCTCACCCCTCACAAAGAAGTACCGATCCTTCCAGTTCTTGTCACTTGAACGAAGGTCGGTCATCAAGTGAGATCGATCATGCCTGAGGTTGATAAGATATCGACCCTTCTCCTTGTCGTTTTCCTTTAGGAAATATGAATGCAGCAGCTCGTGCAGTCCAAACATCACCTGGTTCCACACACAAAGGTCTTCCAGTGCCATCAGCAACCTCCAACCGTTCGGCATGATCTAAGACGGGGCAATCATGAAGTGGTTGAGCACCTCCCAGGTAAGGCAAGGAATGGGAAACCTCAGCCCGTCATGAAACCACTTCTCGTAAACACTCACCCAGTCTTTTACCTCCCAATTGACCCGTTTGTACGATCGTGGTGCCCTGATCTCAACCAAATCCGGAATGTGATACATTGTCCGAATCAACCACACGTCATTATCCTTAAACACGGGCGGATAATCCCTACTCCAAATCCCACTGCCTTGTTGGCTCAGCTCGTCCTTAGAGCTACTACTGGACGAGGATAGACTACCAACTCCTTCAGAGTCTTCCTCACTCCCCCCTTGCCTGCCCGAACCACTCGAATTAGCAACACTCATCCCTGGGGCAGCCACATTCGCACCGGTCGATATACCCGTTGGAACGCCCCCTTGGGGCATCATCACCATGGTCGAGGCACGTTCGTACTCATTCCCAACATCTGCCCCAGCCTCACTCGAATTACTCGACTCCGAATCTAACATTTCAGCCTATCCAACCTACCTGACCGACCGATTCTTTTCCACAATCTAAACTCCCCAAATCCTAAGTGTCAGATCACCGCTCGCCCTACACCACTGACCGAGCAACACTCTAAGAACACTTTTTAACTATTGCTCGCCCTTCAGCATCGATTGACCTATCCCTGTTAACACAACTTACCCTATCCTCAACTTTCACCACCCTAAGTTAGAACCCTGATCGACCCTCGTAGCCAACCAACCTGGTCCCCATATTCAGCACTACTTTATCCCATTCGCCCCAAGCGACCAACCTACGCTCGAGCCCTAAATCCCTTTCCAATAACCCCACTCGCCCTAGGTCACCGACTGACTACTCACAACCAGGGGATAGCTTTACAACCACCTGCTCGGTCTGGACGACCGACGACTTGTTTAAACTCCCCACACGATCCCTTCACTACTCGGTCGGATGGACCAGAAGACCTACCTACCCCAATTAGAGCAATTTCTTTTCAACTCAAATGAGACACGTTTGCTCGACTCGGTCAGGCAGACTGAGACGAGACGAGCCGAATCGAAGTACGACGCAAATCGATTTCATCTTCCCTTTTCCGTCCAAACCCCAAAAACGCCAAAAGTTTCCCAGAAATCCAAATCCAAACCTATTCTAAAAACCAAAAATCCAACACCTTCAATATTCAGGCAAAACCTTTCAAAAAAGAACAAACCAAAACTCCTCCCAAACACCGCTTAAACTCTTTAGAAAACAAACAAACATCTAGTCGAAATGATGTTTGATCCCTTCAATAAACATACACAAGCACAAAAGAAACAAAGAGACATCGCGAAAATAGTGTGTTTACCGGAAAAAAGGCCGAAATCTATAGAAAAAATCCACCGTCGCTGAAGAAAGTTCGAAACGAAGAAGAAAACCAACTGGACCAAAGGCAAACCCAAAATGAAGATGAACAGTCGCTTTTTCCCTTTTATGAACGAATCCTAACAGGGTAGGACACGTGGTGACATCCCATTGGGTAGGGGACAGAGCGACTTTTTATTTTTCTCGCCTAAAGCGTAAACGAAATCACCACCGTACACGTGGCAGAGATCCGTGCCAACTAGTAAATTTCAAACACCATACAAGAGCTACGTCGAACCGCCCTTCATTCCCGACCGAGCTAGCATGTAGCAACACGCCGGCTCCCACCACGAAGCCGACACACTTTCGTGCTACCCACGTCCAGGAGATCCTCCCAACCAGGGTGACTAGCCTGGAACAGTCTACCCCACTTTCTGCCTCGAGACGAGCGAGGCAAGAGAGGTCCCGTCTACTCGGTCTTCCATAGCGGACGAGGGGGCACTTAAGGATTAACCTTCGCATAACCCTTGCCTTAGATCAGACCGCTCAGCTCAAGCCTTCACAAGAACATCGGGCCCAGTGCAACCCAGTCGGCCCAAGGGCACCTGGTAAGGACAGCCCCAAGGTATCACCCAAGCATCCTCTATGCGGTCAAGCAAGCTGGTCGAGTCGATGTCATCTCCTCATTTGGCCCTACATCGAACGAACGCACCTTCAATTGGTGACTTGTTGCATGCCGATCGAAGACACCTGTGATAGGTAGCTTCTCCATTTCTTCACTCGGCTGGACACACCGAACGGATACATGTACACCAGAGATTTTGCTTTGAACTCAGTCTGCTCGACCCCGCACACCGATCGGCCACATCCTCTTGAATTGGTTGCACAATCCGACTCGACGAAGGACACCTAGTAACTCTTGACCACACGTCATCTACATCCGACCGATCAGTTGCGCCAGCAATCGGTCGACTGAGAGGGGCAACCGGATATGCCTCGTTTGATTCCTACTCTCTAAGTTAAGCAAACCTTTACTCAGAGAGTGGGGGACAAACTATTGGAGCCAAAAAATGTCTTCGGCCCAAATGGGATAACACGTCCGACAATGAGGAGAAGACCAGGCCCAATCCCGATGCGGCCCAAGCCAAAACTCCCCGGATGAGGCCCATTTGATACGAGGCCCAATCGGTCCAAACCATCTGGACACATGCCTCCTAATCCCAGTACACTTCCTGGAGCTATGATCGAATCCAGAGCCCACAGTCACCTACGGATCACATTCCTACTCGAACATTGAAAAAGTAGTCCACTACCATCCCAACTCCACCAAGGTACGTGTCAGAGTCATACTTGGACTCCCTTTCACACTAGGATAATGGGGCCAAAAGATATATCCCTGGAGGAAACAAATTATTATGAGAACTCCCAATCCTGGTAGGATTGGGAGACCAGATAATCATTATTTAAACAGAGGCCAGCCCTCTCACATAGCAAATGACATTACACCTTCAAACCCCAGAGTTCCCAATTGAGAACTTCATATTACAGCTATAGTTACAGTCCCCGACTAGACTTCTGGTAACCATTCTACTCCCTAGCCCTCACTAAATTAGCCTCTTTCAGCCTTGCTGACTTGAGCGTCGGAGTGCCTACGGCAAACACCACCCCGGTGTTTTTTGTCGCTTCATGTTTGTTTCTCTACGTGTGCAGGTACAGCAGATCGCTAGTGGCCTCAACCTCACAGGATCAGTTCCTCCTTCCGTACAGTTAGATTTTTACGTCTACATTAAGGTGCCCTATTCATCAGCAATTCAATCTGCCTCTCTTAACAATTGTTGTTCATCAAAAGAATGCAATAGAAGAATAATATAAGTTAATTTGATAAAATTTGACTTTCAATTACTTTTGCTTTGTAGAAACACCGATTTTCGTTATGTTATTTTGTATATATTAAGAAAAGAAAGAAATATATTTTAGATAAAAAAAATTCATAAAAGCAAATATATAAATGGTACATTAAAAAGAAAAAAAAAAACGATTATTTAATGTCCATTAATACAAAAAGAAAAATCACTTCTAGCAAATCAAAGAGATTTGCTGTCAATATACCTTCAGTCTTAAAATTTAATTCTTTTCGCAGAAATTTTAAATCCTTATAACATGTTTAAGAAAATAAAATTTAATAAATTACGTTAATCATGTCGATATATATATAGTAGGTAGGGTGGTTGGTGGATATATAGGTTAGAATTACCGGCGAAAGGTGCAACCCTCGAGCCCCGAACTCCCTTATTTATAAAATATGAGTCACATTCTTCTTCTGCAAAATTAATTTATTTATCATCATCCTACTTTGGGGTTTTCAGGTTTCTCTTTCTAATATGTGGTATTAATATTATGAACCTTGTTGATATGTAATTTTTTATTTTTTATTAAGGATAATAAAAATAGAATTTTATTTATAAAAAAACTTTAATATCATCAAAATTTTATGTTTTTGTATTTTTAGGACAGATGAGGGTCATAAATTAATTTTATTCAATAATGGGATCATAATATTTCATGCAAGATGTGATCCTTCTGCAAATTCATACTGGTAGATTTTTTGAAAGATAAAGAAAGTTTCAATTACATTACAAGATTCTGAAGGAAGCAAATAGGATTAGTTACATTACATACATATATAACATTGACACAGAGATTATTACAATTACAAGCTCAATGTGATTTTGCAGTATATGAGGATTCCAGCATAGAAGGCAACACAAGTGGAGATAGCAGAGGAATGGGATCTTTACTTTGATAAAATGAACTGAATGAAGAAGAAGAAGAAGAAGAAGAAGATTGTGGTGTTGAGGATGACGATGAATTCAAATTGCACCCCATTGCTTTTGATGCACCCTTGCATTCAACAGAAGAAGCATTAGGCTTACTTAGCTGTAGTGGACATGGAGCTCGCCTTTGCAACCTGCTCAATGGCCTTTTAAACACAAACTCTTCTTTGTGAACACCAATCTGAAAGCCAGGGAACTCTTCACCCGATTCCTCCTCCATCACTATGTCCTTATTTTTAATGTTCTTCATCAATCTCTCTCCCTTATGTATTATTTTGAGATACAGAAATCTTAACCATTTAATATGGAGGAGACAATAAGTTTGCATCTTGCCCCCACTATCAAACCAATGGCAGAATGCCACATCCGATCCAAAAGTAAAATAACTCAAATTACAGGATAAGTAGAGAAGAGTAATAAAATATTTGGAAAGATGGGGGTGCCAGTTGCTGCTGCTCTAAGAAATCCTGTGTTGTTGATGATCCTCCCTCCATGTGAGGGAGGAATCAATGCATACATTTAAAGAAACTCTTCAAAGTTTTCAGTGACAAGATCCTCAGAGAGGCACATGTCACCTTACTTGTTTAATTAGTCATATCCCGATGCTTTTCTCTCCTTTTTTTTAGCTCTCACCATTAATTAACTTACACAAAGCATGCAAGTTCCTTAAGGCCAAGGTATTCGATTTCATTTTTTTTTAAGTTTATGACAGCTGAAACATGTCGATTGCCATTGCAGCCGATTATATTTTAACTGAAATGCGTGGAAATGATTGTGTTATGATAGTCATCACAACTTAGCTGTTGCCTTAATTTATGCTTTGGTATAACTAAACAAGACCACTGATTATTTTTTATTGCTATTATATAGATTTATATATCTCCATCCAGTACTGGACATTAAAACATTGACATTAGTTGACCAGTCCATGTAGAACACCCAACACTTGATGTGTTTATTAGTTCTGTCACTGTGCACGTCTCTCTTTTCTTTCATTTTTTTAATATTCACGATTTCCTTATTAACAGATGCATGAATATGAAATTTAATTAGCTAATGGCTTAATCTCATCTATGTTATATTATTGGCTGATGAGAAAAGAGCATCAACTTTGTGATGAAACTAAGTGGAAGAAGCTAGAAGTTATTTAACTGGTCAAATGTTTTTACTTCATTTCTGGGTTGTTCTGTTCAACTTCAGAATGTTTAATTTCTGTTGATGAGAGTTCAAACATAATCTTCTACTTTTAACAATATACCCCGAATAACTATTGATGATAATGCCAATCATATAGTTGATGAAGATGATATAGACATGGAATCAGGAGAGTGAAAACATGGAAACCATTCAGAAAAGAAAACGCATTTTCTTCAGCCTTTTCTCACTTTAAATTTATATTGGTTTCTCATCTTTAGGCTTTTCCACGACATCATCCTCTAAGCTTTTGGTAAAAACAAAAAAACGATCATCACATCACTGTCAGTTGGACCAGAATAAGAGATTTGGTTGGACCATTTCAATGGGGAAAGAAGTTGATGGATCGGCTCCACAAATCAAAATGGATTTTGGTAGAAGGAAAAGAACAACTCTCCCAATAAAACGAAAAATTCAAATTGCAATCCAAGATTGGTCTGTTTCCCATTTGGATTGGTCACAATGGGACCAAACCCGAATGGAGAAACTTCTAAAGTGTATTTCAACCAGTGTGAATGAGTTGTCAAACTTGAAATCGGCACCATGCTCAACAAAAATACTAAATGGGGTTTCACAAACCAAACCCATTTTCTAAAGCCAAGTCTCCATCTAAAGTGATGACAGAAGATTGTGATTCATGACTATGAATCCATAAGCCGCCACCCATGGCCATGTAGCGGGTCCAATTCCTGGACTGGAGGACGTAATGGTCAAAGTTGGTAGCTTCACCCACCAAAACAAAGAAACTGAATAATTCAATGAAATCATTTGTTGTCAACAAGAAGAAATTGAATAATTCAATTCCATTATTTGTTGTCAACAAACAATTCTTCTTTCGTTAGTTTTGATGAAAGTCATTGCTTCATATTTTTGGACACCAGTCCAAAATAGGTGTCAAATATTAATCAACAGGAACTAAACTATGAACCAAATCAAAAGAGGACACAATAACTCAAGCACAAGATTTTAATTTGAAGGCAAAGAGTAAAATTATGTACAAAAGATGACACTGACTGCTTTTGTGTCTCCAACATCAGATTGGATCCACACTGGTAAAGAAATAATGTTAAAAGGAGGTATATTAGGGGAATTTACAGGCTTAAGATATCTCTACGACTTCCCTATTACTATACCACCTCTTTGAGAAAGGACTATTTTTCCTAAATCTAAGTTACCATTCTAATTAAGATGAATAACTAGCGACTATTGGTAGAATTCTAGGTTGGTTTTAAATGTACATGAGGCAAGCTAAATTCCATCCTTCAAGAATAGGATCTAACCAAGCCAAAATTAACAAAAGATCGAGACTTGAAGAGGCCACCAAAGAGGAATCTAGTTGGAGATTCCTGAGATGTTTGTTTTAAGTCTTCAGTGTTGCCTTTCACTTTAAGTATAGTCTGGCCTATTGATTGCCGGATGGAATCAATGACTTTAGCATCCACTGGACAACCTGACGCATCACGAACATAGAACGTATTGAGAGCTTTGCCAGCTTTAGTTGCAACTTCTGCTCTAGTTACAGAGAGGCTGTTCTCCCGGAAGATGCGAGTGACAGCAGATAGCAACCCAACTCTGTCGGTAGTGCACAATTCTAGCTTCAAACCCTGGATGAGGAATAAACAAAGTTTATGTGCAAATTTGAGTAATCTCTTAAAAATTAAAACAAAAAGACAACAAAAGATGCTTAGAAGGATTTTGTTTTTATGCAGCTGTTCCTTTGAGTTGATTGTTGAACAAAGATTCTTTAGATGGAGTAGGTCTAGAAGAATGCATTTAAACATAAATCGAAGGCATTCTCTATTCAACAGACAAATAGATATAAGAAAACATAATCTGACAAAGGAACGGACTACAAAGAAGCAAGACATAAGTTTGATTATGACTGCAATATAATCACAAGATTAAAATTTATGTTTATTACATACTTTTCTTGTCAAAATCATCGCAATACACAGGAATCATACGTTGTAATCTAATAAGAAACAGGGCCATGAAACTGCAGATACAGCAATTTATCTGCTCAAATGCATCAGTTAAAAGTAAAAATTGGAACTTCTCTAAAAATATTCAAATACATAAACCCCAAATTCAGATACAGGATAGTGCACTCACCTCAGATACTCTTCTCTCAATAGCTGCTTCGAGACACTGTATCACTCTTTCTCTCTCTGCATCTGACTTTACAGGTGATCCATCCACATGCCTGATGTAGTATTCCTATCAATCATTCACAACCAAAAAACAAACAAATAAAAGAAAATTAGTCCAAGAAATCATATCAAAATGAAACAAGTTTAAATCCCCAAATCATAAATATACCCCGGTAAAAAAATGGAATACCTGATAAGCTTCTGGCCCCTCACCAGCAATATTGGCATGAAATACCACATACTGCATATCTGTCAAAGTGCAAACTGTATCGAAGAGAAGCTTTGGCCTATCTTTACTTTTAATTGTAACCACTGAGTAGTCTTTATCATACCAATTAACAACATTCACATTAGGCCTTAACCTTTCATCCAAGGTATCGTCATCAGTACGTTCATAATCCCGATCAGCAAACATCATCTGGTGAAGCCTCCTATCAGTGTGGGTGACCTCATAAGAAACAGCAGTCTTAGCCCCCCCAGATTTGTTGCTACCTTTAAGTACATTGCACAGAAGTTCTTTAATCCCAGAGAGTCTATCTGGGTCAGTAATTGGACCCCCAGTTTCCTCATCTGTCACATGCATCACGGCTGCAGCCCGTGTGTTGTGTGTCCACACCTCTGCATTCACTACATTGCATTTAAGGTGAGTGAGAACGGCACTCACTTCTGAAAGTAGCCCTGGTCTGTCACTTCCTGTTAATTCAATTGCAGTATGGTCCATCGATGGTTTAACCCCAACAGACCTCATTGAAGATGAATAACAACCTTCTGGCCCAAGACACTGAAAGATAAACCCAAACAATCAGGTACGCCAATAAACAGTGAAGTAAAAAAAACAGAAAACCCATTCCAACTCACCTTTTTAATATAATCTAGCATCACTTCATCCTTAACCTTGTTTCCATTTTGATCAGTAACATTAAAAACTGGTAAGGACAAAAAAAAAAAAAACCTCATAACTGAGTTTGACACTGCCAAAATATGGGGAGTATAAACTTATCTTCAAAAGGAAAAATAAAAGAAAGAGAGAAAATCTTAATTACCATCCATAAACCAGCCTCCATCAGAAGATATATATGCTTTAGTAATGATTAGGTTAAGATCAGTAAGGACTTGTACAACATCGAGAAGTATTCCATGTTTGTTTTGACTATCAACCTGCAGCATCACAAAACAGAATAAGTATCAAAAAAGTCCCATAAAGAGAGAAAAAGATAAAAAATTTAAAAAGTCGTCCAAAATTGAAGGCGAAAGAGTACAAGGAGAGAAAAGAATCAAAGGCATACCTGTATTACAGTTGCATTCTTGCAGGTTTCATTATCAATCACAACCCTGACAAAAAGGAAATTGAACAAAGTGATGTTATATCTCAAAACTGCTTAACTTCAAAACAAAGAAGAAGAAGAATAAATACTGGGTGGGTTCATTCTTTTGATGAATTTCTCATATTCATCATCACTGTCCTGTGAAAAGCTCATGCTGACCTCTAAAGGAAAAAAAAAAAAAAAAAAAAATTGTTTAGATAAAGAAAAAAGATTAAAAAAAAAAAAAAAAACAGACCATCGACAAAAGACGTTTATTCTAATCACCAAACCAATCAAACAGAGATACTCTCAACTTAATTAAGCAAAGAGAAGATATTATTAAGCAACATCATCCTTAAAAAGAACTTATCAAACACTTCGGATTTAGAGAACTAACCTGACTAATCATAAAAAGCTCAAAAAAACTGTTATAAACCCGATACCAAGACAAAACCAATTAAAGAGTTAAATTCAAGCACAAATACCACAGCACTAATAACTTAAATTAAACGACATATATAACTAACAAAAATCAAAATAAGAATCCCAAATCTTCATATTACCAAGACTCTCAAAACACAAAACAACGAGTCGACTATCAAGACCAAGAATAACAACAACACTGAAAATCATGAAAAGTTAGCACCTACCCATTACAATTCTTGACACTATATCTCGGTTCTCTCAACAACAAAACCACCACCACCCCCCCAGACTCAAAGCCTTTGTTTTTTGCTCTTCAACTCATTATCATGAAAACTACTACAACAACAGTTTATATATATATATATATATATATATATACCCATAAAGGGTCTCACTCAAGAGATCTTCTTTATCTTCCCTGATACCCTCTCTCATTAGGAAATAAGTATTTTTATATTATTTTATCAAGAAAATCGAAATGACCCAAAATATTTCTAAATCAGACACCAGACACGAGACTCCAAAACCCGGACTTGACTACTTATATAATCAACTTTATTTAAATTATTTATTATTTATTAGTCTAAATCAGTATATTTTCCCAGTACTTAAAAAGAAAGTTCCCAAAACTCGGTGTATGAATTGTAATGTTTCCACAACCGTCCAGGCGGATTTTAGCGACGGTGTCGGGTCGGTGCTAGAATGCGCTTATGGTATTCTATAGCTATAAGTTCGTTAAAAAATATGCACGTGTTAAAAAAGGCCAAGGGTATATTGTTCCAACGTTTGTGGAGAGATTTGGTAATTGGAATTTTAGGGCCATAGTTTAGGGTGTCCTAATTTCCTATAAATTGGTTTTAATTGTGGTCATTAGTGATTAACTAATAAACTAGTCAAGACTAAAATAAAATTTAATGGAAAAGTGACAATACATTAAAAAAAAAAAAAATAAAAAGACTCCCTGTTGGATTATGTTAACGTGTAGTTTAGGAATATGCTTTCAATTTCGTCCAAAATATCTTTAATGAAAATATATATATTTATAGTTATAGAACATTAGAATGTGACAAATAAAGGAAAAAAATATCAAACTAAAAATATTGTTGGTACTTTATAATTGCTTCTAGAAGATTTTTTTTTTTTTTTTTTTTTTTTAAAGCAAAATAAGTGCTTTGCTAGGTTGATGCTGTTTAGGAAAATTATCTAACCTAGTTCCCCTTAGTATTTTTTTTGTGCCTTTTTTATTTATTATTTTTCAACTCAAAATATTAAAAATCAATTTGTAATTACTCCCTTCTTTAGGATTATTTGAACAACATATATGTTGATGCTTGATTTTTTACACTAACGATTTGCTCATGCAAAATAGTAAGCTGGCTTAAAAATTACATGTGAATAGAAAATGCAATAAAGTAAATGGAAGATGATTTTTAAAGTGGTTTAAATATTGAAAGCGAATCCTACGTTTATTGTTCTTTTATTATTCTCTGACTCTTTTTTTGATATTACTAATAAGGCATACAAAGAATGAAGAAGTGCTTTGTTTACAAAGAAAAAATAATAAAACTCAAATGTTTGTCTAACTCTCATATGTCTAGCCCCTTTTTCACAAAGAGGGGTGTCCATTTATACACCTTTGAGATCAGTGTAATGAGTGTTTTTGTAAGTTATTATGACACGTGGAGAGCTCTCATTCATCTTAATCTTTTATTTTGGTAAAGGTGGGACTTTTATACAATATCTTGGAGACGGTTTGAGCTTGACAATTAATACACTTTGTCTTTTAGGTAGAGTTGACATCGATGTGACTTTTTACACAAAACAATATATTTATATATTTGGTAAGGCTAAGGATTTAAATACATAGACAAATTAAGTTCAGTTATGTTTATGAGAAATGTCACAATCAATTTTGCCAAGTAATGTATGTAATTAATAAACCAATATGTGGAACATAATGGATGAAGTACTATAAATGTATGAAAAATATACCTAAATTTAGTTTTAAAACCATGGTGTTTATGGTAAATACAAGAATTATCCTGAACAATATATATATATATATAATATATATATTATATATAAAATATAAAAATGTCAATGTTTTGGTCTGTTTGATTAGAAATGTAGAGTTATGATGTGATAATTTATAATGTGGGCGGTTTGCTAAATGGATGAAAGAAGGCGAAAGCATACAAAGGCTAACTCTATCAACGATCTAATCCCATACCATGTCAGTTACAATTTCTGGCGGCTAGGGTTTTCAATTAAAATAAGGGAGAACAACATTTTCCCACCCAAGGTTTGGCAAAACTACACTTTCCCACCTGTCAAGTTTCAAAATGACACTTCCAACTCTTCGTCAGGTTCTATTAGTATTTTTTGTTAATTTTAATTGAAAAAAAAATGCCCTTAAAAAGGCGTTTGTATCATATAATGTTTTATTATGAGGGTATATTATATTAACAGAAAGAAAAATCACCTTGAAGATTACTAGAAAGTTTAAAAAATGTGTTTGGTTGGTTCGAATAAATTGATAAATAAATGTTGGTTGTGAGAGGATAAATGGGTGGATATGTTATATAGATTAAAATTGCCCTCCTTTTTAAATATAATATAATAGTATTTTTATTATTATTTTTTGAATAATTTCTTTTAACCTCCTACATTTGATTTTGCTAAAACACCTAGTCATATAAAACTTTAATTTTAGCAAAATTACCCCCACCACCCAAGCCACTGTTGGCAACCAGCCACCACCCGCGGCCATTGCCGAAAGTCGACAGAATGGCGCACGACTGGCGTCTATGGCCGGCGAAGCAAAAATGGTCATGGATGACAAATCCATGGCCGAAAATGGCTAAATCCATGGCCTTTCATGCCCAAGATGTGGCCATGAAAGGCCAGATCTTTGGTCGTTTCACAACACATCTTTGGTGTGAAACGGCTCATGGCCAGAAAAGACCTTATCGACACACAACCAGTCAAATTCTACCGGGTGCACCATATGACGACAACGTCGACGAGGTAGTGGTGAGTCACAGCTGGCAGTGGGCTTGGGTGACTAGGGTATTTGTTAACTTTTAACTTTTGTGACTAGGGTGTTTAGCTAATTTCTCAAATGTAGGGGGGCGGGGTAATTGTTATTTGATAGACATTTGAGGGCAATTGTGTCTGAAATGATTTTTAATTAAGGGAAAAAGAGTAGAAAAATCATATTACCCTAGTATGTTTTAATTACACTCCTAACAAGGTAATAAGAATACCTCATATCACTAACAGTAAACATTGTAATAAAGATACCGTAAATTTTTATTATTACAAACCAAACACAGAAATCTTGCAAAAAAACAAAGATATACTCCTTATCTTATTACCCCGATCCAAACGGCCCCTAAATAGTTTATTCTTAATAGCTTTTTGGCTGCTCTTTCATATATTAAGATTTTATATGTTAATTAGTAAAAATGAAAAACATTATATTATGAAAAACATTATAAATTAGTAAATTATTAAATAAAGTGATGAGTATTGATGACATTATAAATAAATAAATATTAAAGTCATTTAACTTGAACAATTTCATAACATTATTTCTAACTTTTTAGTTGGGGTTTATTTTTTTATTTTTTTTTTAATATCAACTTTTTAGCTAATTAAAAATAATAAAAAATTTATAAAATGAAATAATTAAAGGTATTTCTCTTTTTAATCAAATTAAGAAAAATAAATAAAACTAGACAAAGATTGAAAAAGTGCCATTTGATCTCGACAGATGAAAAGGTCATTTTGCTGAACTTGGGTGGGGAAAATGTCGCTATCCCTTAAAATAATTAAATTAGATGAGCAGGACATGACTCATGAGGCAGCGCAAGCAGAGGATAATTAATTAAGAAATAATAATTATAATAATGATAATTGATTTTGGATATTAATGCCACCACATGGTTAAGTAAGCAGGCATATTGAATTTTAGTTATTGTTGTGTGGGCGCATACACGCGTGTCTTGAGGGGAGTTGCCGGTCTCATGTCTTTTAGTGTTCTCCCCATGTCTCTGCATTCTTCATTCATCATGTTCTCTATATTACTCATCGTCTTTTGACTACAAATATAATTATCAATTTAATCACTAAAAAACAAACAAACTCACCTCGTAAACAACAATTGGTGCATCCCCGTTCACAAAAATTTGCTCCAAGAATTCTCCATTGATGTTGGAATTAGGTAGGTTTGAAATTAGTGTCTTCCACCTATCAAGAGTGATCCATAAATATTCACGGCGGTGGTGCTAAGTCTACGCGACGCCCCATTGAGGTAAAGCCAAACACGCTATGGCTATATAAATATACCAACTCATTTGCAATTTGCAAGTACACAATACTAAAGTCCCGGAATTTGTCTCACCATGGGCTTGATTTGACAATGCCACCATCGAATTTCCTTTCATCGTTTTATATATATGGCCAATTGGGCATCCCATCCATTCAACCCTCCTAATCAGCCATTTTTTGTCAGCAATTATTGTACATTTGCTTACTAGTTCCCAAACATCTACTACTGCCCTTGCAAATTGTATCCAAAACACCATTTTGATATTTTGGAGTTTTGTATAAAAAAAATAAACTCAAACTTTTTACTGAGAAATCATTGATTGTTTTACTCTTGTTTAAATATTGAACTAAACACATGTTTTTGTTGTTATCATTAATTTTTAGAATATATATATTGCCAAACACATTATTGGATATTGAAACATCAAATTCTTTTTTTATATATTTTTAAGGGTTAATAATTATAATCTCCCTTAGGTATAATTAAATAACAAAAAACCCCTACGTTAGAGAAATTACAAAAATCTCTATAATTATTAATTTTTTTTTTGTGTTAAAATAAACAGCAAAGAGCTAATTAAGTAAATATTTATTAACTCACTACGTTATGAATTCTAACAACTAATTAACGGCAAAAGATTTTTGTTATTACTAAAATCTCAAGAAATTTTTTATTACTTAATTAAATCTCAAAGAAATCAAAATCAAAACCATCTATTTTAGAACTTCAATTTAAAGATGCACATTATATAAGCCTTATGGTAATCGGTTATAACTATGCCATGTCAAAATATGTTTAACCCAGTATAACATTTTGGTTATATTGAATATCTTATAGAAAGTTGATTATATAAACGAATTTTTCCAAATATATGATTAAAATATAAAATATTCAAGCTACATCACATGGTCGGTAACATTGCCTTAATAATGATCATCTCGTGACACAGGCCACTGCTAATTAACTACTAACAACCGTTCTAACCGTC